CCGCCTGGAGTGGCCGCACACCGGGGGCACCTTAGAGCCCGGCGCGTACGCCCTTCTTCTGGGTCTCTTCCCCCCCCCCCCCCGCACGCGGAGAGATAGGGGGTCAAAGGCTGGCCGCGCGCCGTTCCGCCGGTTTCCTCAGCGCTCGGCCGCCGAGCCGCGGCCACGGTTCCCACGCCCCACTGCCGGGCGCCCGCCCGGCAGATGCTCTTCCCCCCCCCCCTCCTGCCTCCGTCGCCGCCCAGGGCCCGAAGCTCAATAGCCGCTAGGGGGACCGGGACGGGGAACAACAGGGACGGCGACACACACACACACACACACACACATACACACGGCCGGGCGGGGAGGCGCGCGCGAGCGCGAGGGGGGGAGGGCGGCTTCTCGGCGGCGCCCGCGGGGCGACGGCCCCCCAACCCCCGGCTGTTCTGGTGAGCGCGAAGAGAACCCTCGTCCCTGGGGGGGGGTGCTGGAGGTGCTCGTGCCTGGAGGGGCTGGGTGCCGTCTCCCCCTGCGCGGCGCCGCGGCGGGGGCCGAGAACAGGCGCCCCAAACCGGGGCTCGGAGGGGGGAGCCCGGCACGCAGCACACAGCGACCGCGCGAATGTTCCCCCCCCTCCCTCCCCCCGCCCGATGCTCGCTGGTCCTCCCACCGGGACGCGGCCATCAAGCACGCCGTGCACGGCCGATGCCACACCGTCGCGAAATACGCCCGTGGTCGGAGAGGAGCAGAGCGGGACCGCGGCGATAACATACACACACACACACACACACACACACGCAGGCCACCGGCCAGGAGGCCAACAATATTCCGCTCAGTATATTATTGTTGTTATTATTACCCGCCAGCATGAAAGCACCTCCCCTCCCAGGGGCCTGCTCTCAGCTGGCCGGGCGACGCTGTGTTATCTCGCGCCTGTGGGCACCGACGTCTGCCCCCTTCGCCCTGCCTCGGCGCCGCCGCCGCCGCCGCCGTGCCTCCCGGCCGCAGGTCCCGGCGCGGATGGTGTTGTTTGCCGCCTCGGGGGGGGGGGGGCGCCCGGCCCCGCCCTCCCGGCCGCAGCGTCCCTCTTCCGCCCTCGGTATGCACACTTGCACGGACACACTTGCGTGGTACAATAGACACGCCGGGGCGTGTTGTGCACTGCCAGGCTCCAGTGACCTCCCGGGCGAGGTCACCCCGGGCTGGAGCCTCAATCCGCCGCAGGGGGACCAAGGAGCGCGCATCATCATTCCCGGCGCGCCTGGCCCAGCCCCCCCCCTTTCCCGACCACAGCGGCCCCGCGGGGGCGGCCGGGACGCTGCCCGCGCACCGGCCCCAGCCGCACATCGGCCGCGACCCCGCCCCCGGGCGCGGTGCGCGTCGCGGTCCGGTTCTCCCTTGTCTCCCGCGGCACAGCCGGGTGCTCCCTCTCCGCGCGGCCGGGAGCCCTCCAAGCCGAGGGCCCCGGGGAGGTGCGTGACTGCCGCCGGTCACGAACGGCGCCCGGTCGGTGTGCCAAGTTGTCCCCCGCCCCGGCGCCTTTCCCAGCCGTGAGGAAGGCCCAAGCCCCCCCCCCCCCGGGCGTCGTCCACAAGCCCCTCCGTGCGCGCCCACAGCCGCCGGGCCGCTTGCCGCCGCCGCCCTGTCGCGACCTGGCCCCGGACCCGGCCGGGCGGGTGGAGCCCGCGGCAAACGCGCCGGGGATCTCCCGGCTCCCCGGCCTGCCGAGAGGCGGGTGGGCCTTCGTACGCCCTGGTCACCCGTCCCCCCCCCCCGGGCCCCCGAGCAGGGCAGGTTATGTTATCTTTCCGGATCCATATCCAAAAAGCGGGGCCCCGGCGCGGGTCCGCCCCCAGCATCTGCCACATCGGTTGCCCTCCCCCTCCCCCCTCCCCTCCCCCACGCCACCCCGCCTCCCCCCTCCTTTTCCTCCCGCCCCCCTTCTCGCCCCCCCCCCCGTGCTTTCCCTCCAGCAGGCTCAGCCTTTCCTCTTTTCTCGTACGTCTCCCCTCCGCCCTGCCTGCGTATGTGCGCGCGTGTGTATGCACACTGCGTCCACTCCGCACCTCTTCGGTTCTGGCACGCTC